CTAATGCAGCGTGGGAAGGTGATAGCTTATGCATCCCGACAACTAAAGACACATGAGGTGAATTATACCACCCATGATCTCGAATTGGGAGCTGTGGTCTTTGCCTTGAAGATTTGGAGGCACTACCTTTATGGTACAAAGTGCACCATTTTCACCGACCACAAGAGCCTCCAACACATTTTAAATCAAAAGGAGTTAAACATGAGGCAGCGAAGATGGGTTGAGCTGCTAAACGATTATGAGTGTGAAATCAAGTACCACCCAGGCAAGGCTAACGTGGTAGCTGATGCCTTGATTCGGAAAGAATACTCAAATCGTCGTGTGAAGACTCTTTCAATAACCATTCAATCCCATCTGTCCTCGCAAATCAAAGAAGCCCAGTTCGATGCCATGAAGACAGAAAACAGAACAAGCGAAGCGTTACGTGGAATGGAAAAGAACTTCGAAGTCAAGAGGATGGAGCATATTGTTTAATGAACCAAATTTGGGTTCCTAAACTTGGGGGATTCAGAGAGGTAGTCATGAATGAAGCCCATAAGACACGATACTCCATCCATCCGGGTTCAGATAAAATGTACCTGGATATCAAGCAACATTATTTGTGGCCTAACATGAAGGCAGAAATTGCCACTTACGTTAGCAAGTGCCTCACTTGCGCTAAAGTGAAGGTAGAATATCAGAAGCCCTCGGGACTATTACAACAGCCGGTAATACCCGAGTGGAAATGGGAAACGATTACCATGGACTTTGTGACCAAATTGCCCAAGACAACTGATGGATTGGATGCCATATGGGTAATAGTTGATAGGTTGACAAAATCCGCTCATTTCCTGCCAATAAAGGAATCATACAAGATGGAACGATTGACGAGAATCTACATCAAGGAAATTGTGAGACTCGATGGAGTACCAATATCTATCATCTCAGATCGAGATAGTAGATTCACTTCACGCTTTTGGCAATCGCTTCAGAAAGCTATGGGAACACAACTCGACATGAGCACTGCCTACCACACACAAACGGATGGTCAAAGTGAGCGAACCATTCAAACACTTGAAGATATGCTTCGAGCATGTGCGATAGACTTTGGAAGGTCGTGGGATATACACCTGCCTTTAATTGAGTTTTCGTACAACAACAGTTATCACACAAGCATCAAAGTTGCTCCTTTTGAAGCATTATATGCGCGTAAATGTAGATCACCGTTGTGTGGGGCTGAGGTAGGTGATACTCAGCTAACAAGAGGACAGACACCAAACAATGCATTAACAGAGCCAAAAATCATACGAGAAACGACAGAGAAGATAGTTCAAATCAGAGCCCGAATTCAAGCATCACGAGACCGACAGAAGAGCTATGCTGATAAACGGCGAAAGCCCTTGGAATTTTCAAGTCGGGGATTGGGTGTTGTTAAAAGTCTCTCCCTGGAAAGGAGTGATTCGTTTCGGGAAATGGGAAAACTAAACCCACGGTACATTGGACCATTCGAGATTCTTGCCCGAATCGGTCTAGCGGCCTACAGGCTGCAGCTACCTGTTGAGCTCAGTAGTGTACACCCCGTGTTCCATGTTTCCAATTTGAAGAAGTGCTTATCCGACGAAACTCTTGTCATCCCATTAGTAGAAATCGAAATCAACGAGAATCTCCTGTTCATCGAGGAACCAGTTGAAATCATGGACAGGGCAGTGAAGCGTACTAAGCGAAGTCGCATTCCGATTGTGAAAGTTCGGTGGAACGCAAAACGAGGACCGGAATTCACATGGGAACGCGAAGACCAGATGAAGCAAAAGTACCCTCACCTATTCTCGCATTCTCAAATCTAGCTTCAAAAAGAATTTCGGGACGAAATTCCCTCTAACGGGGGGATGATGTCACAACTAGGAATTCTAAGGCTTTTGTAAACATTAACAATGATAACATTTGTAACTAAAACTTGAGAGCATGCATAATGCTTATTCCATGACAACAAAATTCCATCAAACACCCTATACAAACACTTCAAATGGTCAACAAAAGATTAGAAACCCTATAAATCTCGGTTTAAGTCCATTATGGACTAGGATTTCCTTATTGGGCCTAATGGACCAATAAGCTTCCAATTTGACTATTTTGGGCTTAGGACCCTTAAATGGGCCCTAATTGGACCCACTTTCATGAAACTTAACATTTTGGGCCATAATGGATCCAAAATGAATTGGTTTACCTTAATGGGCCTTATTGGGCCATAACAAACCTAATAAACTTCAATGGGCCGTGAAACCCATTCTTTCATTCTAATTGGGCCGTAAACCCTCCTAAGGGCCCAATGGGCCAAAAACTATCAAAATGGGCCTCCTGTTATTAGAACCAAGCATTAAAGGCCCATTCCATCTCTCTTCTTTCGCCCTCTCGACCCAACTATATATATAAAAAAAGAAAGAAGTTATGGAGGATTAAGGGAAGTTGACACCTCATTTTTGTTTAGGGGATAATTAGGAAATTATACAACATGTATCCATACATTCTCACATTCCCATGCATCCATCACCTCACCACTTCTCTCCTCCCTTTCTTCTTCTTATCTTCGGCCGAAGATCACTGTACTTGAATTGTATATGAGAAATTGATTAAGAACAAGATCAATCAATGTAATGAACTCATAAAGTAAATAAGACTTTGAAGTTTCTATCACTCTCAATAAGCTTGATTACAAAAGTAGACTATGAAATCTGGAAAACTCGTAGTCTAAACCAAAGCTCGGTCCCTATTTATAGGAAACATGAGAGTACAAAAAATACTAAGTCTGGAACCATTATGCTTCGTACAAAAGTGACTTAGTAAATACATTCGAAATAGACTAAACACAATTCGACTCTTTACAAGACATCGACCCTTACAATCCCCCCCTTTGTAAACGAGTCGAACTACTCAATTCGTGAAAATCTGAGCAGCTAAGTGCATCATCCTTCGTATCTCAGAATACCATGTTATTACCTTCTTTAGCTCCTTCTTGTCACCATCATTGTTTTTCGAGAAATTATTCATACGAACAATAAAGTTTGTATATTGTGACGTTGTATATCTTTCGATCTCAGCAACTTGAAAGAGAAATCTCTTAGCCTTTCCTTTAGTGTCCTTCCCAGCAAACACTAAACCAAACGGTTTTAAACATATCTCTCCATCAGCATACTTTTTCAACTCAGCATGTGTCTTTGAAAGTTCCATTGCAACAGAGACTTTCTTATCCATACTCGAAGCCAACTCTTCGTCAGTCAGGGCAAGACAATCATAATAATTGTCAATGAAGATTTTAATGTGACCAAGACCTAGTCTGAACACTTCTTTGTCTGTACCCTTGAGTTGTGATGCCTCCATTTCTTTTAAAAGTAATTCAACTTGAATAAGATCATTCAAGTTCAATAGAGGGAAGTCTGCAATACTGAAATCGATTTCTTGATTGTTTGCACGAATCACATGATACCTGAAATTTTGTATCATGTCTTCGAACAAGACATCTTTCTTAATAGCAACAACTTTCTTGATCTTGATCAGAGACCACACTTCATCTTGCTCTTTTCCAAGTACAGCATGAAAACGAATTTTCATGTGTGTATAATCATCTGGGTTTTTGAATTTCTCACTAATCTTGTATTGAGCAGTGATAAACATCATTTCGTTTATCGGAAAGTCCAACTGACAAAAATCAGTGTTAGCAATCGAATAGCTTTTCCTTGGTTTCTTTTCGAAAGCATACATATGATTGAATGAAACTCTCGATTCGATTGATTCATATGAATACAACTTTTTGGGATCACCTTTGTCCATTCCAGGTGGATCATTTTCTCTCAACCTCAGAATACTTTGAATATGCCTTTGAAGTTGATTTCAGCCTCCACCTCTGCTTTCTTTTCTTCTTTAGACTTTTGACTAGCACACCTTTCCCATTGTCTTTCGAATCTGAATTTGGTTTTAAGGAACTTGAACTACCCCCTTCTGTAGCTGAATCAATCACAATTCCTTTTGGTTTTGTAAAAGGTTTTGTGGTAACAATTGTTGTTGAAATAGTATCAGACTTCACTGGAATTGAAACAGGAATTTGTGTAGAGAACACCTTTCCAACAACTTTCGAATCTCCAGTTGTTATCTTCTCTCCTTCTCCCTTTCTATTCACTTTTTTCACTTTCGTTTCTCCCCCTTGCACCCCTGTGTTAACAGGTGGGGCATTCTGTGGCAACATTTGAGCAAACTTGGAAATGGGAGCAACCGCCTTCTGAATAAACTGATCAAGTAAATTCAACTTATGAGTAAGGAACTCAGGAGTTAAAAACGAAGTTGGAGTAGGCTTCGAAACAACTTCTTTTAACTCTTCAAGAAGAGACTGCAATTTCGCAAGCTGATTGTTGTCTTCACTTGCTTTATATTCAAACTTCGGCATTGCGTCTTGAAAAGCTTTGACAAAATTTGTAACTGCTCCAACAATTATATCAACCTTCTCTTGAAGTGAATTGTACTGAGAATTTATATTCATGAGTTCCTGAGAGACTTCCTTCTTCAACTCTTCGAGTTTCAAATTGACATCTTCACGAACCTTTTTGACATCTTGTACGAAGAGAATATGACGTTCCTTCGCAACAGCCTTCAAATCCTTTAAGTCCCCTTCAAAATTTCCTGTCTGAGTCTTGATACGAAGCTCATTATTTTGATCAGAAAGATCTATCTTTTCATGAAGTCTTCGTTCAGCTGCCTTTATCATTAATTCAACTTCAAGACCCGAAACCGAATGTGTTGCTCCTGAATCAGCTTGAGACTGAAGAAGTGAGTTTAACTTCCTGTTCAAGATTTTGAACTGTTTTCCTGACATTAACATATGATCAGGAATCTCCTCCTCTTCCGAATCAAAATGCAATTCGTCGAACGTTCCTCCAAAACCTCCTTCTTCGGTTTCATCATCAGAATGATGTTTGGGTGTGTCTGTGGATTGTGATGGAAAAAGAGTAGTAATTGGTTGTTGAAGAATAGTTTCAAACAGAGGAGATGATGTAGAAGTTGAGATGGGTGGTGGTAAGGAAACAAATGAAGTTGAAGTAATAGGTGGTAATGAAGAAGAGAGAATAATAGGTTGTGAAGACTTGGTTACCAATTTCTTTGAGTGGAATGGTTGGAGTAGGAGAAATGATAGAAACATTCGAAATTGAAGAGATTATAGGTGTTGAGGTTACCATAGAAGTCGAAGCAATAGGAGTATCAGGAACAACTTCGTTTTCTGAGGAATCATCTCTTATTACAAGCTTTCGCTTGTACCGTTTTTGTGTGATGTGCTTCGCAACATCATGAGCACGTCTCTTTTTGGATAATGGTGAAACAGGAGCAGGTATTTCATGAACTACCACTCCTTTACTGCTAACCTGAGTCTTATGAACCATCAGAGAGTCATCAGACGAAGTTCGTTTAGATGATTTCATACGAATCCATTTAAGAATTCCTGATTTTGAAGGAACAACTTCTTTCAAAGGCTGAGCTTCATTCTCTTCTACTTTCTTCTTCTCATCACCCTCAACTTTCTTGGGCGAAGATTTATTAGACTTCGTTTTCTTTGATGGCTTGGAAGAGCCAGCTTCGATTTCAAGTAACACCCCAGTTTCAACATCAGGGTTCACCGTCTGCAAATACTTTACAAGAATCTTGTTCGTAGGATTCACCTTCTTGAGCATTGCATCTGGAATTCTTGCAACACTTCTAAAAATTTGCTCAACATCTTGAACATTCTTTGGAAATTGAAACTTCGTAAACTCAGCAATTTCTTCACCCTGAGGAACTTGAATTCCTTCTTTCTCATACACCTTCTCCAAAATTAAACTCCAGTATCTAGCACAAGAAATTCCCTTAGCCACACTTGTACGTTCTAAGCTTTTCGTGAATTGATCCACAACGAGTGGCATAATCCACACTCAAGTCGTAATATAAACCCATGACCATAGCATAAACTTCTTGTCTTCCCTTGTCAAGACCCACTTTTCTTCCTGTTAAACATCGTAGAAAAATCCCAAACAAGAAATTCCAGATACAGGGAAGCCCAGACTTTTTGAAATCACTTATCTTTTCGAGTGGTGGCTGGTGACCCATCTCGTTGAACATATGCACAATCTGTGGGTTAGAAGGTTTCAAAAACGGTGGTGAATTAGGAAGCTCCAAGAACTGTGAGAACATCTTCTTGGTGAGACGAATGCGTTTCTCATTTACGAAGTTGAAAGTGATTACATCAGTTCCTTTATTGAATGAAGCAGTAGATGCAGCCATAGACAACCAAGTTAGTGGAACTGCGAAAGATTTGAACATAGCGGTGGCAAGAACTGATCTTTTCAATGCAACTATCAGCATCTTGAGCTCTTCTGGATATAACGAGACATTTGATTCAACCTGATAGTTTGTGCTTTGAATCATCATCAGAGGTTAGGATGCAATTTCGTCGTTAGTGGAATTCTGAACAACAGCCATTTGAATGTTGATTGGAAGCTTTCAAAAAGATATTAGGGCTTTTTGATCTTCTGTGAATTCTTGAACGTGTGATTTCAAAAAGAAAGAAAATTTTCCTTTTATAAGTAAGCCCAAAGTAATGTGAACCGTTTGTCATTAAGAAGTAGATCACATCGTCCCTTGAAACGCGCACCAGTAGCCGTTATTGTAGCTATGTCAGATAAAGTTCCTTGAAACTAGGGCCAAGGTACCAAACGGTTACTTTGAGACTGTTCATGAGTACTTGTGGATAAGATCAAACGTTTCGGATTTGAGGTTGGGCTCATTCGTTTTTGGGATTCGAAACGAAGTCATTTGCCAGTCTTGTGAAATCATCAGCCTAAGTTGGTATTACTTAGAACCTCAAGGATTTCGTGAGTGTAGTGATTCAATGAAAAAGGATAAGAAGCAAATTAAAAAAAAATTGGATATGTGATGTCAAATATGTTGACACAAAAGAAGTTAAACCCCAGGCAAAGGTTGCTTCGTTAATTATCAAGAGAGATAACTAACAGCTTGTGCATTTTCCCGTGAATTACAATCGAATACTTTTAAAGAAGTATCAAAGGGCTTCTTTTTCAAGGCTTCAATGGGTGGCTTATGAATTTCGTTACATATCATCCTAAACATAAGGTGAGAAATTGTAAACGAAATTACTTGTTTGACCAGTGTAGTCAGTGACAAGTGGCTTTGTAAAATTTGTGAAAGTGACTAGAGAAAAGAATTGATACTCACACTGAAATCACATTCAAAGAAAAATAGTTAAGCTGGATTTCGTTGGGAAACAAATGTCGTGGGTTTCGAACATTTGATCAAAACCACTCATACGAAAGAATGTGATATGGAGTATACGAAACTTGGGTACAGAAACAAGTGTTTCGTAAGAATCTGGAACAAAGTTCCCCGTCAATTCCTTATTAAGTTCGGATATTTGGGTTTCACTTGCATCACGGTCTCATGATTTAAGATCATTAACACAGATTTTTGACATGTTTAAGTCACAATTGGTTTGATCAATGACCTCTTGAATATGTGTCTTTGTGTGTGAAAAGTGTAAGAAATTTTGTGATAAAAAAGATTGGTTAAGATTCGAATGTACCTCTGTTATATATGGACCAAACAGATAACTCTTAACTCATTTGAGAAGAGTAAGGTAACTCATTGGACTAATGCGAATGTAAGCCTAATTTGGAAGAAACTTTCGTATGAAAATTTTCATTAAGGCTTTCGTAACACACATAGAGTCAGTTGAGGCTTGGGTCGACATGCAGCAGTATGCTTCTAGGGACATTTTAACTAGTACAAAGATTTAAGAGAATTATCTTCCTATAGAAACACAAGCATGACCCTTTGAAGAATTGTCGTGAAAATTGTTCTTGAAGACCTGAATAAATAACAAAGTAACCAAAAATCTTTTTGAATTTTCTATATAAAAAAAATATTTTTGTGATTTTGAATTTTTTTTTTCGAAAAATAAAACAAGTAATAAAAGAAAATCTTTTTGATATTTTTGATTTTTCGAAAATTAATGCAAAGAAATAAAAATATTTTTGGTTTTTCAGCTGAACAAAATTTTAAACAAATGAAAAGAAATGATAGTATCAAACACGCGAAAAGTTTTAGTTTCAATATATGAAAACGAAGCGTGTCGAAGCCTCTTAACGCACAGTAACCTCTGAATGATTAGGACAACAAGCCTCTGAATCGACACCTTTTTCATCAACAACATTTCGTTAATTTTGAGTACTTGATCCTGGTACCGAATTCGCATCTATCATTCCCAAACCTGCTAAAATTCTCACAAAAGATTTTTCATCAAGTGGTTTAGTGAAAATATCAGCAAGTTGATTAGTAGTTTTGACAAAATGAACTTCAATGTTACCATCTTCCACATGATCTTTTATAAAATGATAACGAAGAGCAATGTGTTTCGTTTTCGAATGTTGTACTGGATTATGACAAATGCGAATAGCACTTTGTGAATCACAGTACAAAGGAATCTTTTTCATATTAATTGCATAATCACGCAATTGACTTTGAATCCATATAATTTATGATGTGCAAGCAGCAGCGACTACATATTCTGCTTCAGCTGTTGAAATTGATACACATGTTTTCTTTTTCGACTGCCAACTCACCAACTTGCCATCGAGAAATTGACATCCACCACTTGTACTTTTTTTGTCGAGAGTACATCCACCAAGGTCTGAATCCGAAAAGGCTTGAATGAAAAATCCAGATTTGGAAGGATACCATAATCCCAACGAAACTGTTCCTTTAAGATAACGAAAAATATTCTTTACAGCTGTTAAATGTGTTTCTCTTGGATTTGCTTGATACCTTGCACAATTGCACACAGAAAACATGATATCAGGTCTACTTGCAGTTAAATAAACTAAAGAACCTATCATGCTTCGAAACAAAGTAAGATCAACAACAGGTGAATCTAACGAAGGTGTTAACTTCGTTCCTACTGCCATTGGTACTCTTAGCTTAGTGCTATTAGTCATTCCAAACTTTTCAAGCAAATTCTTCGTGTATTTGTTTTGGTTAATGAAAATTCCTTCTCTGCTTTGACGTATATTTAACCCAAGAAAATTGTTGATTTTACCCATCATGCTCATTTCGAATTTACTCTTCATCAAATTTTCGAATTCTCTAGATAAGGCAGGGTCAGTTGATCCAAAAATAATATCATCAACATAAATTTGAACAAGCATTAGATGATCCCCAACTTTCTTTCGAAATAATGTGGGATCAACAGATCCTTGTTTAAATTTAGATTGTTTCAAAAATGAAGTAAGAGTTGCATACCATGCTCGTGGTGCTTGTTTTAACCCATAAACTGCCTTATCTAAAATATAAACATGATCAGGATATTCTTCTTTAATAAAACCTGGGGTTGTTCCACATAAACTGTTTCTTCAAGCTCTCCATTTAAAAATGCACACTTCACGTCCATTTGATAAACATCAAAGTCTTTGTGAGCTGCATAAGCCAGAAATATACGAACAGCCTCGAGTCTTGCGACAGGGGCAAAAGTTTCTTCATAGTCGATTCCTTCTTGTTGTGAATATCCTTTAACAACAAGTCTGGCTTTGTTTCGAATAATATTGCCATCTTTGTCGGTTTTATTTTTGAAAATCCATTTTAGCCCGACAATCGAAACATCATCAGGTTTTGGAACAAGTCTCCAAACCTTGTTTCGTTCGAATTCAGCAAGTTCAGATTGCATAGCAACAATCCAATCTGAGTGTTCCATAGCATTCTTAACTGTTTTTGGCTCTATTTTCGAAATAAAAACATTAAACATGCAAAATTCTTGATTCGTATTCAGTACCTCATTTTTTGCACGAATTTGAGCTCTTGTTAAAACTCCATCTTGTGGATTTCCTATAACTTGCTCTTTTGGATGATTCTTTGTCCATGTCTCAAGTGGTGGATATGCTGGATCAAATTCAATGGTGCATCTTCGTACATTTCTTCATTTTCAGTACCTGCCACAGAAATATTATCATCAAATTCATGAAATTCATCATTTTGATCAATATTAATTGCATCTGTATCATCATGCTCCCCCTCAACATGATTATCATTTTGATGCTCCCCCTCAAATTCATGATTCATACTACTCTTCTCCCCCTCGAAAGGATGCTTCCCTCAACATTTAGAGGAATAGACGTATGCTCCCCATCCATACGAACATTTAGCATACTTTCGCCATTTTCAGTAGTATCCGAAGTGAGTGTTGAATCATCAGTATGTTTTGATGATTCGGGTGTTTGATTATCATCAGCATGAACTTCAGCATCAATTGCTCTATCTGGAACACCAAAAATGAGATCATAATCAAAATCAATTGTATTATTATTCTCAGTTTGATTGTTTGATTCAGCAAGAATTGGTTTTTGGTCAAACTTTCTTTCGACTTGTTTAACATAGTAATCATCAAAGGTGAGATTAAAAGTTTCTTCAACTTTGCGAGTTCGTTTGTTCAACACTCGATATGCAACAGAAGTATGCGAATATCCCAAAAGTATGCCCTCATCAACTTTAGCTTGAAACTTTGAAAGATTATCTTTAAGATTCATGATGAAACATCTGCAACCAAAAACATGAAAAAATTTGACATTAGGTTTCCGATTATTTAGTATTTCATAAGGAGTGATATTAAATCTTTTATGAATAAAAGAACGAT